TTCAGTTTCCTCATTTATTACCATTGGCTTCTACTCATAAAGTATTTCCTGAAATTTTTCCAGGTCAGTCAGTTCTTTTTGGTACAGTGACTCAGTATATTTCCTTTTTCTTATTTTTATACTTCCTGAGTCATTTAATATATTGCCCATAGCATCTTTCAATATTGTGACTCAAGGCTTAACTTTGTTTTTCCGTTCTCTCGGCTTGAGAAATGCAGAGTGAGTTCTCTCCTTTTTATTCTCCAATTCCAGCTCTCTGCATAATCCATTAAAATGTTTTGCTTTGTCTTCTTGAGCTGCTCTTTGAAATCTTCTGTTTAGCTTTTACATTTTTTACCTTACATTTTGGCTTCTCAACACTCTAGGGCAATTTTCAGAGTCTCTTTCTCTCTTCCCTGTCTTATCTACGAACTTTTTATTTCAGTATTTTGTTCTTACCCATTTGTAGGTCAATGAACTGTCAAAGAGTAGGTACTGATTATACTTAGTCATCAAGTGATTCACTCAATTCCCTGTCAAACAGAAAATTATATCAACCACATTCCAGATACTATGCTAGATCTCAGGATGTTGTTGTGTTGTTAGGTGTCATCAAGTCGACTACAACCCATAGCAACCCTATGAACAACAGATCAATACTCTGCTCTATCCTGTGCTATCCTCATCATCTCTTATATTTGAGCCAACTGTTAAAGTCACTGTGCTAATCCACCTCATTGATCTCAGGAAATCTTAATACAGTTTGTTTTTGTTGTTTAATACGATTGAGTTGGAACCAACCTATAAATGATGCTCCAGTGGGTTTTTAGAAGCTGTTAATCACATGGGAGGAGACTAAATGCATGTGTTTTGGATTGCAGTGCAGTTCTTAGCAATAGGTCACCAGAGGTCCTTAATAAAATTTGTTGTTATTGTTATTGTTGTTGTTGTTGTTGTTGTTGTTATATGCCATTGAGTTGCTTGTAACTCATAGCAACACTATGTACAACAGCCCTGCAACCTACTCTATCCTGTACCAACTTAATTATCTCTGACATACTTACTCTCATTACTCTAGTCACTGCATCAATTTTTCTCATAGTGTGCCTAAAAATTTAGTGTGATACTCATAGCTTAGTAGGAGGATACAGATAACTAAATTATCTGTTACATGTAGGAGATGTATGCTTCAATAAAGATTGGTGTGAAAGTTAAGAAAGTGCAAATAAAGGACAATTTAAAGAAGTTATGGAAAGCTTTCCAGAGGAAGTAGTGCTGAAAGAAGACTTGAATTTTTTAAGGTAAATAAATGTTACCTAAACAAGAAAAAAAAAGGCCATTAGGATTGAGAAAACAGTCTGATTAAATGTACAAAATATGTACAGAGGTATGATAGGACAAAGTATTTTTTTAAATGTTTTTGTATTTTATGTTGGCATATATACAAAATTTGT